CAAGAAAAAAAACGCTCTTGACAAAGTCCAGGATCTAATGAGCTTTTGGATTTTAGTTGCATAAACAAGCTGACAGCCTCTTCCGTAAGTACATGTGATGAAATTGGTAGATACTAAGAGGCGCTGCCTTGTGCAAATTTCTCCCATAAAGTCTTCATTTCAGCCTTCAGGACAGCATTGCTAATTCAGCAGCATATCAAGACTTCAGTTTGTCTGCAAGCGGTTAAATAGTCATTTCTGGGACAACTGTGGGATGCCTGATGCACTGTGGTACACATGGGTCAAACTTTAGCCTCACACTAAACATATTCAATAGAATATGGTTGGAGCTGAAATTTCTGGGTTATATTCTGAGACAATGAATGAGATTAGATAGTTTATTGAAAACAGTTATCTAAATGAACCTTACACTTCTAAGGAAAGCTCTTGGATATTGTCATGTTCATTGCATTGGTGATTTTTGGGGTGCACTCTTGAATTAAAATATTTCATAGGACACTCTTACCTTTTTTTTTTTGAATGCTTTTGATACCTGGTTAATTTATCAAGCTGTAGGCTAATTCTTTTGATACTGCCAGACACCCTGAGGCATTTACGTGTGACAGATGAGGAGAAATTGGAGCTAGCCTCTTGCTGGTGTGTTCTGGAGTATGGTAAATAATTCCCATTCACTGAGAAGTATCTTAGCTGTTCCAGTTGGTCAAACCCAGTTTTACTTCTTGTAGTTCCTTGCAGGAGTAGAAAAGCTCAAAATACTTCAGGAAATAAATGTAGGCTACTAAAATAAGCCCAGTAGTACTAAAGAGGATGCACTGCTAAAGCATCACCTCACTCCTGTTCTGCCCAAGTAGTAAATAAGTAAAAGTTTAGTAGGGGGTGAAGAACTGCGAACAGAACCTGATTTCACCAGTCCCATTTCTTAATTCAACAAGCAATCTTCCTAGCCAGTGCATTAACCTATGGAAATATTTTCTTATTGATTATAAAATTGAAAACTTTACAGTGCTTCAGTGCTAAAGACTCCCTGGATGATCGCATGCCTAGGAAGTGAAAGTATGCTGCTGCCTTTCACTCCATTACAATACTTAAAGGGTATATTTCTGCTGCCCAGGTGTTGTCTCTTCATAAAGCTTGTAGATGTTTAGTGAAACTTGTTTGGGTTTTGGGAACCATCAGCCTCTGAATGCTTGATTGAAGTAAGTGGACTTGTGGGTGGTGAGGCTGAAAAGGAGTGGAGGTATTGAATAGTGTGACTGGATAAGCTTGGTTTCCTAAGGACAAGGCTTAAAAAAGATCATTTGAAATACAGATCAAGTGCTGGAGGAGGAAGGGGTTGTGCACTTTAATGCCTTATCCTAGGGGCTACTGAAGACAAATTTCAGCAGCTGTTTTTTTAATATATATTTTTTTTAAATTGCAGATCTCAGGAAAACTTTATAACTTGAATATATATCTCCGAGTTCTCTTTGATTATCAAATTGTATCCTCTAGGGGAGGAAATCCAGAGACCTCAGCTTTTGGAGTGCAGTATCTGAAAGCTCTTAGCATGAAAGACTGTTCTTGAGACTAGAAACTTGACATGAAAAAGATGATGTACAAGGCTGTTGGACCTGTATTGCAGAAAATTTGGGAAACCTTTTCATAGATTCAGGTCGTACATCATCTAAGGGAAAATAGCTACTAGGAATGCATGTGTACTCACAGCAGAATCTTATATCTGATTACAGTTAATTACATATGTGAATAATATTAAATGTCAATTAATGTGTTAAGTACATTGATAATGCTTGATAGTATTTCTCCATAGTTTAATAAAGCAATCCCACTAATTGGGCTTTGACATCAATCTAATGAGCTAAACAAGAGTAGCCGGGCCTGTAAAAATAAGAATTAAATGATCCGTGTCCTGATCCACTTCCCGTTGTAGTGAGAGTTCTCCCTATGGCTTTTGTGGGAACTTGGTTGGATTCCTTAACCTAGGCAGATAAGGTACAAAATAGGAACATCTCTACGTGAGAGAAATTCCTTAGTCTGGAAATGAACTATGGTATGTATTTGATATTTCTCTAATACAGACTTTGTTTAATTGGTGGTGGTGTCATAATTCAGTGAAAATATTAATGGCCAATGAAAATGAGTTTTTCATAAGGTGTGAAGTTGTGCTTTCATAGCACTGTTTCTAAACAGAATGGACGGCTCCCACAGAATGTGTTAGGTAATGCTGATCAAATAAAGGACAGAAAAACAAATATTGTTTTACTCTGTCAGAATGAAAAATGTTCTCTCCACTATGTGGTGGTAAGTTACGTTCATCCAGTATGATGATATTGTGGAGGGTAGCGTAACACCTTCCATGCTTAAGGTAATGAATAGCTAACAACAAGAAGTGTTGGTACTAGCATGTTTTAAAGTCTGTCAATTCACCACATGAATTCTTATTTCAGAACCTTGCAGACTGAGGATCAAACCTGGTGCTACTGTTTCCTTAAGCTCTGATGAAGCTTGCAGGAATATTTGAAAAGGCTTTGAAAAATAACGCTGCTTAGTGCTCTTTTTATGCAAGATGCTGCAAGCTGTAATTGTGGGGAAATGGGCACCTAGGTACTGGGCATTTCTTTTGCAGTTCATCTCAAACCTGAATGATGGCTTTCAAAAACACATTCTCATATAGACATCTACTCTCCTAGGCTCCTAAAATTTTACATGAGTACAGAATTTCTGTCCTGTAACTTAGATAGCTGGTGGAAATAATTTGGAGGACTTTTCAGACTACATGAAAGTGCCCTTAAAACAAACAGTGTTAGTCTGTCTGTCTTGCACAACAAAGCTGAGGTTCTCTGGGTCTTTCTGGCTCTGTCACTGCCCCTTTCTGCTTCTCATTCCCTGTAGTGCAGAAAGCAAAACTTGAGTTTATACGACTGCCATTGGTGGAGACCTTAACTAACCTCCCTGAAAGTTAAATTGGACCCTAGATTTGATTCTCCCAGTATGGGAAGGGGGAGGGGGGCAGGAATTGTGAATTAGAATAGTTATACTTTAATAGAGTCTTGAACTATGATACCGAGAAAGTTGTGTGAACGTAGCGAGGCGTCCAGGATGAAGTAATCGGAGACTTCTGACCCAGATAAGAGCAATGAGTTTAACTGCGCATTTGCTTTATCTAAAACTTTCTTATGTGCTGCTGTTAGGAATTAGTCTAGGCTACATACTAGTGCTGGCTTTGTAGAGACTTCTGTTACTCATGTAACTTGGTTTTAGGTCATTATGTTGGGAACATCCTAGGGATGAGGTAGACTAGCTTAACTTATCAGCAAAAGCTTTTTCATTTCCCTTGAACCACAGTTTCACCTGCAAAAACACTTGAGTTATTTGTATCGGTGGGATTTTGCTTTAGGAGTCATTATAGGTATAGTCTTGTGGGCTTCCAGTTCCAGGGTCTATCCAGAGGCTCTTCATTAAAGTGGATATTCTGGTAGCAAGCATTGTTTACCATGCAGAAGTGTGAACTAAGGCCCTGTATAAACAAACTTTGAGAAACTTATTGAACTGTGGAAAATGCTCAGCTTTTGATAGAAATGTCACTTCTTGCCCTTTCTGAGACATTACAGTTGCTCCCTTTCATTAGGGGAGGCAAAGTTTGTTGGTTTTTTTTTTTCATTAATTGCTTATATTATGTGCTAGCTGTTTGCAGAGGGTTTGCAGACTTCAAGCAGAGATGCCATCTAAAAGAAAAGTGTTTTTAGCTTTGAAGTACTTTTATGTATGTCTAGTAGGTTACTGGTAACATCTGCTAGGTGGCTTAAGTTAGGAACTCTGTGTGTGACTCTCGCTACCTGAGTCTTGCTGATGTGAGGGGAAAAAATACTATCGCTTGTCCAGCTTGTGGTAGCAGAGGTCAGGAAGAGTTTGTCCACTTCAGCTGATGTGTGATAACCACTGAGAGGGTTGATCACAGTCACTGTGGTCACACTAATATTGTGGGGTTTTAGACAGAGGAATCAGTTACTACCTAGCCCAAAAACTAATCCCATAGAGAAAAGCTGGAGTGCCTCAGTGAAGCTGCTCATATAGCTACATGATTGCTCTGTAGTGGCCCAAGGGAGGGACTTGGGAACAAATTAGTACATGATTATTCTGTAGTCAGCAACCTACATGTAGTTTAAGCACTCTCTGTGAAATAGTTTTAATGTAGATGCAGTTACACTGGTAGGTATCCGCTTGTTTGGCTGGTTAGTGAATTTTTTGGGGGGAACTAGTGTAAATCGTCATCTTGACAACTAGCTGGAGTGACTAGTGTTTTATGTACTTGTATGAGGAGGGCTTGGGTTCATAGCAATGCATGGGTGTACATGCTACTAGTGCTTTTTGGGTAGATTAACTTTGGTGCCTTTTGCTACTTGCTGATGTCTTGTTTGTTAAGCACATTTTCCAAGGACTTCTGTGTTCTTTTCTGCTGAAGATACCACATATATTTTTCTATTTGGGGGAGCACAATTCTTTAGCACGATGCTAAACAAATCGCCTAAACTCCGCCTTGCTGAAGGAATTCTTAGAAGTCTTAGTTGTGGCAATATCTGGGAGAGCCTGTTAGACGCCTGTTAAGCTGCTTAAAGGCACTGAACTTGAGTGATCCCTCAATTTTTGTCCAGTCCTTTCCCTGAATACTTATCAGAATGGATTCAAGGGCAGGATTTTGGCAAGCATGCCATATTTGCATGTCTGCTTGCATAATCTTTACTCTGCAATGCACTCTCTAACCTTTTTTGGCTCAGCTGCTGTGCGTAATCTCTCTATCAGTCTTGGTTTTGCTTAGTCATGGTAGGGATCCCTTACCCTTCCAGCTGTGGTATCTTGGTTCTTTAGGAAAAAAAAACAAAACCAATGCTTTTTTTTTTAAAGGCAACTTCCTTAATCTAAATAAATGTCTGCCTTTAAAGCAAAGATAGATGTTTTGGAGCTCTGGTACTGCTAGAAACTGGTAGTAGTAGTGTCTTCCTGATCTCTGTGAACAAGTCTTATTTTTGTTGGAAGAGAAGGATTGATAGCAGGCTAATATGGTGGATTTGAAGTAAATGCTAACCTGAATTGCCTAGACTAGCAGAAATGTCTATGCTGTTTCTTTACTGTCTAAGCATAGCCTTTCTGTTCAGCTATACTCCAAGCAAGATGACCCCAAGTAGTCGAAATTTTGCATATTTTCATAATTTTAGAACCTGTAGTCAGAAGCACTAAGAACAGAATTGAGGCTTCAAATCCTTATTTTTTCTGTCAATGGTAAAATGTTTGAATTTACTTCATGGTTACCTTAATCCAAGGCTGTAGTACTAAAGTGTTTTCATCTTGCTTACCTAATAATTCCTAGTGTTTATGTAGTAGTTTCCTACTTAAAAGTTGAGTGGTGAATTTTTATGGCATGTTACTTATCTGTTTTATGAATGAGTAACTTGAAGCTGAGAAAATTTGCTGAACTAGATGATGTGATATATCTTGCAGTATGTACAGACACTGTTATTTGATGTCTAAAATATGGAACTGCATGCAGTCCCAAATGCACGTCCTGGGGAAGAGTAAAAGTCAATGGAGAGCAGGGGTTTAGGTTAAAGGAATGGCGATGGGTTGAAGTATTTGAAGATACTAAGAGATGACTTCTCTGCATCTCAGTGGTTTTATCAGTAATGTGGTTTTGGGATTTCATAGTCTGTTAAAACCAAACTGCTATTCTAGTGTCTTATATAAGTTTTCAGTTGTGCTTAAGCACTTCAAAGTAGCTGGCTTGCTGGGTGATGATACAATAACTTCTTTTGGAAAGGACTCTTGAGGGTTATCTGGTCCAACCCCCAGCTCAAACTAGGATTGACTTAAAGGTCAGGTTCCTTAGTGCCTTTTCTAGGCAACCTCAAAGGACCGAGATTCTGCATGCTGCCTTGCCAACTTGTTTCAGTGATTGGTTTCTCTTCTTGTGAATAGCTTTTTTTATTGTATCTACCTGGAACGTTCTTGCTACAACTTATATCTTTTGGCTTTTATCCTTTTGCTGTATAATGTGCTGTTTGGATAAAAATATACATTTCCTGCAGAAGTGAGAATATGGAATGTAATTTCAGTAATAGCTGGACTATTGAGACTGACTGATTCCTATAATGCTCTAAATGCTTTAGTTGCTAAGTGTAATACCTCTTACTGCTGATGGAGTAGAAACTTAGCTTCCTTGGTTTTGGCTTCAGAAAGTACATTAAGCTCTCCAGTTATTCAGAGAGGCTTATGTTTGATCCAAGAAGTCTAGCGGCTGATTTTACAAGGAGAATTTTTTTCGAAATGTAGAAATGAAGAATTTCCATTTTTAGACTGTGGAATGGTTTTCAGTAACAAATCCAAACTCATTAAAAATTGCAGCACCCGGGTGGTGAAGAGGTCCTCAGGGAGCAAGCCGGAGGAGATGCTACTGAGAACTTTGAAGATGTTGGCCATTCCACAGATGCAAGGACACTGTCAGAAACCTTTATTGTTGGGGAACTTCATCCGGTGAGTATGTGGAAGTACCAGTACTTGCTGTTTACTGTACTTTTTTTTGTGTCTAGTTGTTTCTCTGGTAATTCACTTCAAAATAAAGCAGAGCTACTGGTTTGGTTGGATGCCAGCCCTGCTGTTTGTGGATGGACCTGGGCTGGAGCTAGGTTCCCCCAGTGTGAAGGGATTTGATTAGTGTAGCATAAGGATGGTCACATCTGAAAGTTTGCTGCTTGAAATATGTTATACCCTATTTATTAAATAAACTGAATATGGAATTGTGCCATTTCTGGTGTACCCTGTGAGCTTTATAATGAGACTCTATAACCCATGAAAGTGATCTGTCAGAATGCCTAGACCTTTTCTTATGTCAATATGCAGAGTGATTACTAGCAGCCACTTTCATTATTTCATCATTGGAAATATATATATGCCAGCCTTCCATTTGGATCTAAAAGTACAATCCTGGCCCATTGTATGTATGTTTACAGAACTGCTACTCTAAGCATCTTACTTGTAGTTTGATGCTGAGTCTTCCCCCTCTCTGGCTCTCCCTGTTTTGTGCTGTATCCATGTTCCCTACTTGTAGTTGTCAGGGCTGTTGATGATCAGTTCCCACTGGATCATCTGTCACTGCCTCTTTTTTCTATACTGTCCTTACCGTTTCCTGTACTTCTATTCTGCTGCCTCAAGCTTTGAAGGCTTTATTTCTAGCTACAGATATGCTGCCCTGGCTTCCTTCAGATAGGCCTTTTTTTAAGCTCTTCTGCATCTTAACAGTTGCAAACCACTTGTAGAGACTTAGGCTTCTAGTGTGCCCATCTGCTCTACTGCCCTTTCCTGCCTGTTTTCTTTTCCTATTCTGTTTTGTGCACGTTTTGTCTTGCATTTGGGGTAAATATCACTGTCTTGAGTAGCATATTTCACAGTAGAATTACTAATCTTGTAGATGTCTTGAGGTCCTTTCTCGATTAAATATTAGGAGAAGCTACACTATTAATATGAAATAATTCTGCTCTGATGCACATCTGTAACCATGCAGGCTTGTCATCTATTTCAGATGGCAGGTGATGCCAGTAGAGTTGTTCTTAACCTGGCTACCAGTCCAGTCCTTTGTTGGTTGACAAGTGCCTGTTTTCATTTGATATGAAACAAATGGCTTGATAGTTTAATGTACAAATACAGCACTGTCAAGATTATATACTGTTGGGCTTTTTTTTTGTAATGAATGTGATTATTTCAAGTAAAACTTAATGAGTGCATGAAAGATCCATAGAATTTGGGACTCTTGTACTGGTTGTTGGACCAAAACTAGTTAAATGACTACCTGATAATAGACTGGGTAGAAGAAAACTAATATGATTGTAATCGGTGTTTAAGCTAGGGTTATGTGTACTGTTGAGAGACAAAGGGAATGCAAGAACACGGGCACAAGAAATAATGAAATACATTGGAGACTTGGGTTTCACTTCTTTATTGTATACTGGGAAGTGTTCTTTAAGGAAGTGATCTGGTTTATGGTAGTTCAAAATCATGCACTGACATCTGCTCTTTTACAAGTCTGTCTCCTAGGTAAAAATAGTACATATTAACAGAATAGAATTGCGAACTGAATTTATTGATAAATGTGATTTGAATGTTTTGGGGTTTTGTCTGAATGGGGTGTTTTGCTTGTTTTCTTGCAGGATGACAGAGGGAAGCTTCAGAAACCAACAGTAAGTGTATTTCTTGAAATGTCGCATTGTTTCTTTTAGGTTTTAGGAATGGTGTCTCTCTGTAAATGGTATATTCCCAGAGGCAAAAATAAGTCAGCTTGTTTTTAAGTGTAGTGTTCCAGGTCATAAATATCTTAAACCTGTGGATCTGGCTTCAACTTACTCTTCCTGCTAGCTGTTCTTTTCTCTAGTTTGTGTGGTTTTGAACCAAGAGGTTACTAAGTGTGATGGCATTACACTGTAGCAAAAAAGTGAGTCAATCGGTCAATAGTTTTCAAGTATTCAGTTTAAGAAAAAAATCAGTTTATAGACAGAATAGATTAAACTAATATGTGTTTGTGGAGGAAAAAAATGTGCTACTAAGTGTGATGGCATTACACTGTAGCAAAAAAGTGAGTCAATCGGTCAATAGTTTTCAAGTATTCAGTTTAAGAAAAAAATCAGTTTATAGACAGAATAGATTAAACTAATATGTGTTTGTGGAGGAAAAAAATGTGGTGCTTAACAATATATTGGTAACAGTAGTAGATACAGAAGCATTTGATTGCTGTATTACAGATCAGTTAATTTGCAGTTGTGAACCCTTTTCAAGGTTCTGAAATAATCCTGTTTGCTTCCCAACTGTTTCAGTAGACTTTGAATGTCCTGTCAATGTAGTATTACACTTATTTTCTAATTTTTTTTCTATCTTTAATAGAGTAAAATTGTGTTGGCACCCAACTATCAAACTCTTAAAACTCTGCTGTCTCTTAAAGGAGCAAGTGTTTTGGGGATTAATTTGTACAGTTGCTGCTGCTCTTTGTGTAGAGGATGATTGCTCAGGGCTGGCTTACAGTACAGTAGTACATTTAGGAAATAGTTGAAGATCATTTTTAAATTAAGTATAGTAGGAATAGGATCTTACTTTTGCTGTTTGAGAGATTAATTCTAAGAAACAATCACTTCTGTAAGATCTTCCAAATAATAAAAGGGAAGAAAGTAAATATATATATATACACACACTGAAATGTTTGCTATAGCACTTGTTAATTTTATTATTAAGGACTGGAACTAGTATACTAATAAGAAATACAAATACAGCACTGTCAAGATTATATACTGTTGGGCTTTTTTTTTGTAATGAATGTGATTATTTCAAGTAAAACTTAATGAGTGCATGAAAGATCCATAGAATTTGGGACTCTTGTACTGGTTGTTGGACCAAAACTAGTTAAATGACTACCTGATAATAGACTGGGTAGAAGAAAACTAATATGATTGTAATCGGTGTTTAAGCTAGGGTTATGTGTACTGTTGAGAGACAAAGGGAATGCAAGAACACGGGCACAAGAAATAATGAAATACATTGGAGACTTGGGTTTCACTTCTTTATTGTATACTGGGAAGTGTTCTTTAAGGAAGTGATCTGGTTTATGGTAGTTCAAAATCATGCACTGACATCTGCTCTTTTACAAGTCTGTCTCCTAGGTAAAAATAGTACATATTAACAGAATAGAATTGCGAACTGAATTTATTGATAAATGTGATTTGAATGTTTTGGGGTTTTGTCTGAATGGGGTGTTTTGCTTGTTTTCTTGCAGGATGACAGAGGGAAGCTTCAGAAACCAACAGTAAGTGTATTTCTTGAAATGTCGCATTGTTTCTTTTAGGTTTTAGGAATGGTGTCTCTCTGTAAATGGTATATTCCCAGAGGCAAAAATAAGTCAGCTTGTTTTTAAGTGTAGTGTTCCAGGTCATAAATATCTTAAACCTGTGGATCTGGCTTCAACTTACTCTTCCTGCTAGCTGTTCTTTTCTCTAGTTTGTGTGGTTTTGAACCAAGAGGTTACTAAGTGTGATGGCATTACACTGTAGCAAAAAAGTGAGTCAATCGGTCAATAGTTTTCAAGTATTCAGTTTAAGAAAAAAATCAGTTTATAGACAGAATAGATTAAAATATGTGTTTGTGGAGGAAAAAAAAAATGTGCTTAACAATATATTGGTAACAGTAGTAGATACAGAAGCATTTGATTGCTGTATTACAGATCAGTTAATTTGCAGTTGTGAACCCTTTTCAAGGTTCTGAAATAATCCTGTTTGCTTCCCAACTGTTTCAGTAGACTTTGAATGTCCTGTCAATGTAGTATTACACTTATTTTCTAATTTTTTTTCTATCTTTAATAGAGTAAAATTGTGTTGGCACCCAACTATCAAACTCTTAAAACTCTGCTGTCTCTTAAAGGAGCAAGTGTTTTGGGGATTAATTTGTACAGTTGCTGCTGCTCTTTGTGTAGAGGATGATTGCTCAGGGCTGGCTTACAGTACAGTAGTACATTTAGGAAATAGTTGAAGATCATTTTTAAATTAAGTATAGTAGGAATAGGATCTTACTTTTGCTGTTTGAGAGATTAATTCTAAGAAACAATCACTTCTGTAAGATCTTCCAAATAATAAAAGGGAAGAAAGTAAATATATATATATATACACACACTGAAATGTTTGCTATAGCACTTGTTAATTTTATTATTAAGGACTGGAACTAGTATACTAATAAGAAAAGGAGTGGTGGCTGGAATTCAGAGCTTCCCACCAAGAACAACATCTGCTGTTCAGATTTCTTTGGAAATTCAGAGCAATTGACACTTCAGGTATAAGAGCAGCAGCCATAAATGCAACTGAGAAACAGGCTTCCTGGTGCAAGTTGTAATAATGGAGTCCTTTGATTAAGCTCACAGGAACTTACTAAATTGAAGTACTTAGAAAATTAGTTTGCCCAAAGCGTGGTCAGTTGGGAGTGAAGATGTATCCAAATGACTTTTCACTACACTCCTATTTGACTGGCTCCAAAACAAGGGAATAAACCATAGTTATCTACACGACACATGTGTTTTCCATCATTCCAGAAGGAAGCCGGAGCACATTCCTCCAGCGGGACGTGTGGGCGCAGCTGATAAGGCAGGGTCGCTCTGCCTTGCGCCCCGGGTGTGCGCTGTGATGGCTTGGGGCCTGTCTGCCCTGGCTCTCTGTGAGCTGTCAGGCGGCCTTGTGCTTTCAAACGCCCTCCTCAGCCTTGCACTGTATTTAAAGTACCCTGAGTGTACATGTCCAGTGTCAGACTGTTTAAAATCAGGTTTTTGATAAGCAGGGCCGCATTCCTCTTGCTGTCTTGGGGGGGTGGGGAACCACCCCCTGGCCCTGGAAGCAGCAAATCTGTTGTAGAAGGTGTTAGCCTTGATAGCGTGGGCACAAGCTGTTCTGTGCTGTTTGGCTTTGGGATTGGTTTTTCATGGAGGCGTTCACAAAACCAATATAGATTTAATCACTGCGTCCTATTCTCTTAAACATGGTATTTGTCACGCGTAAGCCTGTGATGGTCTGGGTGCTTGAAAGAGTAACCTGTTTGAACCTCTGAGAGGGTGTTAGGAAGCTTTTGCTCATTTAAATGAATTGCAAATACTGTGATGCTGAAGCAATTAATTTTTCAGTGATGGATCTCATACCACTAAATTTAAGTACAGTTTTAATGTTTGGATCTTTTAAATGCACTTAGGGCTATGTGCAATTAGTAGTATTTAAATTAATAAGTCTTCATATAAATTGTGCACATGTACCCAACTGGGATTTGGTCTTATGCTGGTTTTTCTGTGGAAACTGAACGGGAAATCCAAATCAGTATCAGAAAGAACTAGAATAATTTGACTGATTCTTACGCAATCTGAAACACCACACTAAAAAAAAAATTTAATAAGCCTTGTGGATGTAAATTAGTAGCTTTCTTCATGTAGGTTCTGTGAAAGAAATATTTGTGATTTAGTTCAGAGTCTTTTCAATTAGATTTTAGGTGAGTAAGGGATCTCTGTCTTTTAGGTGACTAAAACTTTTCAAATGTAACATGAGGGTGAAGTTAACTTCATGGTAAACTTGCAGCAAAATTCCTTGTGATGATACTTTTTTTTAATAACTTCTGAGGCAATGTTGAATGCAGAAACTGCTGCTAGCTAGCTTCTAATACAACAGTCTGTAACATTTGCTTTCCAAATGCAACGCACCGAGTTGTTTTTAAATTAGTCCCACTTAATGAGTTTTGAGAAGTTGAGGGGTTAGTTAAGATGGAGAGGGATGTCTGCCTGATGTAAATATCTTTTTATGCTTTGCTTTCCAGGAAACTCTTATTACCACTACTCAGTCTAATACCAGGTATAGTATGACACCTGATGTCAAACTTTAAGTTCCTCATGATTATGTTTCTGAAGCTTAGAAAGTTGAATCGCTCCTGTCTCCTGGAAGCTTAGATGTCAGAGGACAGTGCATGAAAAATTTGGTTCTGTGTGAAGGCCAAATGGCATCTGTGTACCACTTTACAAGCATGTTAGCTTACTTTCTAAATTCTTTTTTTCTCATAATGATATGTATCAGTCTCTACCAACTGGTTTATGTTTCACAAGCCTTCGTTTCTGAAGGCTATCAGGTAAATAGAAGACATTTGGTGCCATTGCTGAACTTCTTACTGACATGAACACCTCAGTTAAAATTTGCTACAACTGTTGCATCTAAGGGAAAAAAGAGGATTGAGTTTATAAGAAGGAAAACTTGTCAGAATTGGGGGCGGGGGGGAGGGGGGAAACGCTTTGGAACACTGCTGAATCGAACTTAAAGTTATATCCTGCTGACAACTGCCTACTGCTGAAACTGCAGAAGACTGTTCCATGCCCTTCTGAGTGGGGAGCTTGGGTGCTTGAAGGTGTCATGTGATGCCACTACTTAAGTGGCCTTTGAATTAGTAATAATCTGGGCAGTGTGCCATGACTTGAAACATGGCTAGAGTCTTACTCTTCTCTAAGAGTAAGCACACTACTTGTAAGCCCTAGTACAAAGCCTTAACAGTGCAAGCTTTTTTTTACTTGGCTTCAGTGCTAAATGGCCAGCCCAGGTGGTCTGTTACCCGAACTTTAAAGTATTTGTTGAGGTGGGGAGGAAGGATGACTTTAAGCAATGACCTTCTCTTTTTTTTTTTTTTTAAACTTGCTGGTTGTCACTTCCTAAACTGATGTTTCAAAAACTTCCTTCTAGTTCATGGTCCAACTGGGTGATCCCAGCAATAGCAGCAATTATTGTGGCCCTGATGTATCGTTCCTACATGTCGGAGTAAGCGCCTTACTGAGAACTAATGCAAGAAGAGACTGCTCTAGGAGAGAACATAAGCAATCCTAACCCGGTATGGTTCCAGACAAAAGCCTGATGTCTGATGAAAAATTCACGTTTTTCAGAAAACTGAACAATTCTTTTCTGCTGTGCACTTTTCTTAATGTTGCCTTCTTATTTGCTGTTCTGAAGTGATAAAAAGGCAGCATTTCTCTTTTTTGTATAACAATTTTATTCTCTAATTATTTGATAACTGTATTGGTTTCTGTGTTAGAACGTTGTTTTGTATGTAACACTGATTCTGGTTATTTCTGTTTAATCTGTAATGGGGTCCATAGAATTCTCTTTACATATAAATTTTACAGCTTTAAATGACTACCAAAACTGTGTACATGTATTTGTCCATGTACACAACTTTGCTTAACTTAAAATCATGTTGTTTTCTTAAATGTAGTATGTTTGAATGAAATGCTAATTAAACATAATTGAAATAGCTGAGTGGAGTAGTGGGTATAGGTGCCTGTAAGCAGTTGGGCCCTACCAATTAGGCTAAAATGAGCTGATTGGGGTGTTTTTTTCCCTTTCCTGTTGAATCTACTCTTGTAGTTTTTGTAGATACTCATACTAGTGAACTGTTCTGTTTTGGCTCCCACTGAAAAATTCAGGTGAAATATGAAACCCAATGTTTGGCCCAATTAGGTCTGTCTCAGTTTTGTGAAAAGTAGCTCTTTTTTTGTGAAAAACTCAGAAAAAAGTGCTATGTAAAATCCACTACAGGTAATGTAACTGCTACTAAATAATACTGTTCCTGCCAAGCACTCAGGTGACTGTAGAATTTGTTCTGGAACTTTTAGACTTTTATAAAAATCTTTAACTTTGTCATGTACATTGTGAGGGTAAAAAACTGATACGTGGAATCTGTTTCTGACTGCTCTATGATGTGCTCCTTGGTGCTTTACTATGAAGAGATGACTATTTTCACTGCTAAATACAAGGTAACTGAAAGTTTGCATTTTGTGGTGAACATTTTTAGTCATATGTAAATGATCATGAATAAAAGTTTAATTGCTTATTCTTGCTGGCTCAAATTCATTCATTTCAAACTTTTTTGAAGGCCTTGGAAGGGACTCTTGCATATTGGGACACTTGTCAAAGTGCCTGTTTGATGGTGTGTCCTGAAAGTCAAGAGACTTCCCTCATGCAGGGAAGTCACATATAAAAAGTGGGAAAATTGTACTATGGAGCAGTTAGCATAGGTAAATGTTTTCATCAGCATAACCTCAACACCAACTAATGACTTAACAGTGGTTTGGTGCTGCGAGCTCTGCCTCCCTGACATACATCAAGACTTGAAACACTATTCCAAGGGGCTACCTCTTGGCAGCACCAGGGAAGATGCATGCAGTTTAGGCCCAGTGTCGAGGCAAATCAAATTAAAAGATAGTACAGTGTAAACACCAGCTTAAAAAAAGGGGGGGGTGAGGGTAAGTGCTGTGACTTCCGAAGATTGTCTTGTGCATACATAGGAATATGTCAATACAAAATTCCTTTAAGAATTCCTTATTGTGGGATTCCTGTTGTGGGAATTTCTTCATTTTTGTAGTAAAGAAGGCTATCTCCTACAGCTTCAACTGTGGAAGTGTTTAGTATCTCCTACATGTCTAATCATGTGCTCTGTCAGACTGGGTTTACAAATACACAGATGTGTGCTTGCAGTGCAACCCATTAACTTCTCTACCTTGGAAATTTTAACCTGTAGTATAAGTGGCAGTGTTTGGGACTGTCTAGCATTAACTTGTTTTGTCCTGTTTTTGCCCTAGCTTTTCCTCTGAATGATGAAGCTGAGTCTAAAAATTCAGGCTTTATTGACTTTTTACAGCTAACCTTTAAAAAGGATTTAATAACTCATAAATCAAGTTTGAAGTACTGAATTTTCTGTTTATTTTTAAATAACACTTAAATTTGAATGTCTAGGTGAGGCAAAAAACCCTAACAAAATAGCTTTAGAAAGCTTAACCTTTCATATCTGTTAGGAGACTTTCAGACTGGGATAATTATATCCATATCGGCAGATGGGGTAGTGCAAGCAAAGTGGATCTGTAAGGCAAAACACTGCTTGCAAAAAGCTTTTTTTTTTTTTTTTCAGCAGATGGGGTAGTGCAAGCACAAGTGGATCTGTAAGGAAAAACACTGCTTGCAAAAAGCCTTTTTTTTTTTTTTTTTTTTCTCTCCATGCTGTATATGTTTTGGGAATTTTAGTATAGTGTAGCTCTGTCTGGGTCCTATATACTGGACATATACTGGTGGCTAGAGTGTTATCCAGTCCCCCTAGAGTACCTACACAAGTTCAGTTCCATCTAAAAGCAGTCCAGCTGGCATGCACAGGGAATTTCCACAACGTGAACCAAAAGTGCAGTGAATGGAGGCGAGTGAGCGATGCTTCAAAAACTGGTACAAGTGCTAATGTAGGTGCACACAGCTCCTTCCCTGTAGTTGGTCTGTTCATATTCCCTTCCACCAGGGCTGGTGTAAGGTTTTCCTCAGAGGTGAACATGATTCTCTCAGGTTTTTGAATGTAAACTGATGAATTTGTAAACTCAACTAATAAGCAGGCTTATAATTTTCCTTTTTAACACCCTAAGGTTAGAGCTGCTTTCTGTAGGGGGTCATACAGGAGTTTTTATGTGACTTTAGCTTTTGATCATGAATACGTGCAAAAGAGAAGGTATACGGGTGTGGTGAGGAATGAATGACTATGCTATTGAAATACTAGTCAAATGAATTAAGGATAGTCAATGTTTTCATGGTCTGACAGCGAAAAGAAAAGAATGCATGGAGTCTGCTTTCTCCTCAGAACAAAATCTATTGTGACCAGATCCAATCTGAAGGTACTCGCTCTAATTCTGTGGCAATGAGCTTTAATACTCATTTTTGTTTGGAGAGGCTGCTTTTGGTGGCCTATGCTTTAAATCAAATGTTGTCTCATGTTGTTTGCTTGTACAACTTCACAACATTTATACTGCCTTTCTGTACTGAAATAAATTATTTAGGCATTGCATTTTTGGCCTTCAGTTTGCCTCTCTCTTGTTCAGAAGAATGCATAGTGGCAGAGAGCTCCCTTGAACGGAGACAGCCTTGGCTTCCTCTCAGTGTCTATGGACTAAAGCCAGCACAACTTGTTCACTTGCTCCCTCTGCTATGATGAGAAAAACCCCTCAGTACGCTGGCCCTCTCTGTCTCGCTTGCTTCGGCACAGTGGTCCAATGCCTTTCTGTAGTGCTGAATGCGGTGCTGCAGCCAGGGTTTTGTAGAATGCTAGAGAGGGACTGGCAAGGGGGTAGAAGCTAGGGAAATGCAAGCTGATCTCCAGAGGCAAAAAAATGGGAAGGTGCTATTGGTTTTATTTTCCGAATGTTTGACTACTGAGGGTAGATGAGTGCTTATCAATTCTTGGCCATTTTGAGCAAAACTCGCTGTATTTCCTGCAAGGCTGGCAATGAAGATTATTAACCAAAACTCAGTGCAAATGAATGAACTGGATTGAAGTATCATGCAAAACAGGTAGAACTTTAATAGTATTACAGTGCTTTCTCCTGAATACAGGGAAGGGTATCAGGAACAGTACAGAAGGAACAAGGAGGGGAAGGAAGCTCATACTCTTATATACTCTTAACGCCTGGCCAGATCTGAGGTGAAGCGAGTAACTGACAGATCATATGTCTGAATTTCACATTCCTCATTTTACTTTCATACTATGTTACATTCCTTCTCATGATTAATTCATTATGTGTTGAAATATTCTGAGTTTTGAATGACCTGGCTTATAAGTAGGTGGGCAGATAAGCACATGAATGCATGAGAAATGTTGGAACATTGGATCTCCGTAGGTGATTAATGCTGGATTTTCTGTTCGTTCTGAAAACTAGTTAGACTTGTTCTTAATCTTCTTACATGTAAGAGTATGCATGAAACAATCCTTCATATTTTATTTGCTGGCTTTCTGGGGACATACAATGCAACTATGGGTCTCTATTGATGGATGCTAAACCAGAGCTGAGAATGGACTCGATTGCACTGCAGAGTCTCATGTATAAAGAATAGATTTTGACTTTTCTCCTGTGCGGTATAATGTCTGTGCCCATGTCTTGCAGTTTACTGCACCTAGGCAGCCAGCCTATTGCCAAGAGCTGTCAGTTCTGTTCACCGAGAGGAAAGCAGCACTGTCGGGCAGGAAGAGTTATGCACAGGAAAACCTTAGGGAAGGGGTTTTTGTATCTCCAGGCAGAACACGGCAGAACTCGCGCGGCCTCCCAGAGTCCAAGAACAGCACCCAGTAGCACAGTTACCACAGAAATCTTGCCTTTTCCATAGACCGCGGTCTATAGATAAAGCTGATTGATCCTATTGCAGGGTGGGAGCATTCCACAGTATCTCTGGAGTTCCACCTACCTAAGTCCTGGATAAATGCAGCCTTGTGCTGTTTGAAATGACAAGGTTTTTACTCGTCATCTGTGGGAAAATGACTCTTTAAACAGAACGTGTTCTGGAAACTGCTTCAAGGTCTGTGAGGGGGTGGTTAGAGAGGAAAAGGTAAGCCGAGCGAGGGAAGTGCTTTCCTAAATGACATCTTGAAAATATGGAAAGAACATTCTCCTGTCATATTCAGTTGTCAGGTTTCGGAAGCCAATTGATGCTTCTGTTGTCAGTCATCTAGTCTTAACATGGCTTGCGGGGGTGTCTGTAAGAGCATGATAGGTGCCTTGCCTACGTAGGTATTGAGGGTGGGCATAAGAGCTTAGCCTGCTGCTTAGAAGCCCACAGGGTGGTGAACTGGTAACTGGAAACAAGAAAATGTGTCCTTTCATTTGTAAACTGAATGGATTCCCAACTTGTATTTATTTGGATCCATTTTCAGAGCGGTGTTGCAGTGAGTGATGTTCTCTGCATCAGTCTGAGGAGGACAAGCAATCTATGAGTAATAAAGGTAAGCTGGTATTTGAGCAGTCACAGCTTCTGGGATTAGAATGAGAAAACCTTCTTGTATTTTTAGGTGGTTCTGCAGGACTACTCTTTGACCCTATGGCAGTAACGAAGACACTTGAGTTGTACAGGTTATTACATACTTCGTTGTTGTGGTGGTGAGATCTTCAGATCCGAGGGTATGGGTGAACATGTTTCTAGAATACAAGTTAGAGCGTGTAGGTTTAAAGCTAGGTACTCCCTGGTGGCTCCTCGTGGTGGGCTGCTCTTAGTCTTGGTGGCATGCCAGATAATTTACTGCACCTTTGCTGAAGGATGTTATGATTGCATGCTTCGGAAGCTCAACATCTAGCAGATCTGTAAGTCTGACCAAACAAGACCTTCCTGCCTCAAGGTCCCATGAGAATCTTGATCCAGGATGATGTCTCAGATCACATACGAAACAGGAGCAGGCTCTTCATAACAAATTGTGCTTTTTCATACAGTAAGTTGGTATTCACAAATAAGTGTCAGCAGGTGAGAAAGAGCAGGAACAGTTGCTGGGGAAAACAGAAATAGCCTGTGAAGCAAGGACTATGATCCAGGATTTTCCCTCTGAGCTCTGTGCCCTAACTGCTAAGCTACAGAGACTCTTACTCCTCTGCACTATGAATCCAACGTTGGTTTTTTCTCTCCCTGGAACAGATGAACTGCTTGAATATTTACCCTGGTTCTTGCACAAAGTGTTAGAGCCCGGGTGAACTCTGGCCTAGTTTAGAGCGAGCTTGGATGCGTCTGCATCGTTCCTGTAGGCGTGACCTTGCTGGTTTCCACTGGTTCTCACTTCTGGTTTGCATGAAGCACGCAAATACAGCTCCAGACTTGTTGCACGCTTCCACGTGGGAACCTTTCAGTTTGTTCTTGAAGTCGGCGCGAGCTCATTATGCATCCCTTAAAAATAGATGGCCATCTTACTTCCAACTGCTCATGTGAGTTAAAAAAAAAAAAGCATAGGGTTAACATTAATTACAAATCATGAAACGACATTCTTTCTGTACTTCAAAAATCCACGTATTTTAAACCCATCGGTGCAGGGACTTCACTGTCGTGCATAAA